TAAGAAATAGACAAGGGATGAAGGCTCCAGCCAGCTCACATTTTTTAAACTCGAAAAAACAGACGAAAACAATAAAAAATAAAATGTAAAAAAAATACCAGGTTGAAGAATTTTAGTTGCTCCTTCGAATTTTGCCAAAGCCTTACCTACATTTTACCGAAATCTGCAGAATAAATCAAGAAAACTACACAAATTGAATCCATTTAGGAATTCCTAACGGTTAGGCAATGGATGCCGAATAACTGGTAGAATCACCATCATCATAAAAATAACAGCCATCAATAGGCAAATTAGTTGCTGTGTTAATTGGACAATCTCCGAGCTTCGAGGTACTACCTTCGAGTATAGCCTGTACACCTTGAAACAACGAATACAAAAAATACATGTTGGGCATATAGATGCAAATATGATCCTTATCAACTGGTAACAATCTAAAGATGCCGGATTCGCAATAAATTCAAATGCGTATCAGATATAAACGTAAAATCATAATATTCTGGTGACGAATAAACTACCTGTTATTTTTTCGGAACATTTGGTGGCTTCCACTTTCCCATCTGGTCCGTGATAAAAATGAGGGGCCCCTGATCCACCGCCAGGATGTTCTTCAAACACTCCCCATCTAAGATGACCCCATTCCTTGACTATAGCCTGTAATTATAGCAAATCGTATATACTCATTTTTTGATTCAAATAAACGGCTACACCTGAATATAACCTCTATAGTGTACCGTGTCGCGCACGTGAAACATTTTGAAGTAAACGACTATGTACAATGTCTGAAATTCCAACGAGAGTTTGAAATTTGGGATTGCATGAACTATGTTTTCAACGTTTCAAGGCATTATGATTAAAACAATATATATATGTTTAGAAATAAAAAAAAAAAAGTCCTGCGTTCAAATTGTAATATTGGTAGTAAATGTTGGTGTCTTACTCTGGTGGTAGCTACCTAAATTACAAAACAGCTAGATGATACCCAAGCAACGAAAATATAGGGGCGAGGCCAATTGAGACGTTGATCCCACCCCTCACCTTGGGCTCGCCGGTTTATAGTGAAATGTCAAAACAGGGAGGCATGCTACAATTGGTATATCCGTGTTTCTGTGAACTTTTGTTAGGGTAAGTCTTAGTCTGACCATAGCGTCGCTGTACAGTCCGGACTGTACAGCCGCGGTGCCATCCTCTATTCGTACAGCGGTAAAAATGAAGAGTATATATTTATGTTCACCGGCCCGTGAAACTGGCTGGAAGAACAAAATTAAGTCTTGTTGTGTCTTCCTTTTACAATTTATTTTGGACTGTTTTTGATGAAAAAAAAAATATCTCGATGCCGCGCAATTTCTGTCAGACTTCCACTCAGGAACGACGTAATGACACTGTCTCTTGATTTCTGGGTGCAAAGATCCATTTTTACTGATTTGTTTATAGCTAGGACTCGAGCCTACTCACTAGTAGAACTACTGAATACATGTTTACCTTTTGAATTTCGGGATTTCCCCCAACCCGCCATGTGATAGTGGACTTCTTTCATTTACACATGGCAATCATGATCGTACTCGTTAAACACAGCCCCGGAACATAGCCACACATTTTCGAGTCACGATTGCTGCCTATCTCAATATTTGCATATTCCAACAATCTGTACTAACCTAAAGGGCCTTACAGGGGCATACATAAATTAAAGGTCTACCTTGCCGTAAGGACCATAGTCACATGAAGTGTCCTCTTCCATGATGTACTGTCTCGTAAGGTGCATTCTGTCTCCCGCTACTCCGCATTGATGAACGTTAGAGACGTACGGGACAGCAATCACGTGATCAAATACAATGACATCACTTGTGCGGAGACTTTCGAATCTTGGTGCAATGTAGTCATGGTGGTCACTCCAGGATTTGGGAACGAGGATGAAGATGCTCTTGAAAAATGCACGATGGCTGAATATGAATTGGACAAACCAAAATATTGATAATTATGTTTCATTACCACGTGCACGTTACATTATTAAAGG